TTAATATTACTACTTCATTAATTTGTTATATACTTTTTAAAATTAATGAATTGATTTTTTAAGTCCAAATTTGATTGATCTGGATAATTTACAAAAATCAAGAGACGAATAGTTTAAAGATCGGATTGATTGGTTCGGTCCAACTGATGGACCATTCGTTAAGTAAGAAAAATATTTAAAATGATATTTTTAAAATCAATCGAGGTGGTTTGACCGGTTGATCTTGTCCAACGAACTTTTTCTCGTCACACAGATAAAAATATATTTGAAATAAGTGATTTAATGGTTTGATGCTTTAATTATATGAAAAAAAATCACCTATTACTCTTTCCTTTTTTAACCACTCAAATTTGGACATATATAAAGATACAGGTCTGTAGTTAACTGTAATGGATGGTTATGTAAATGTAGACGAAGGATTGTGTGATAATGAAAGTTATGTTGAGAAGCGTAAGAAGAGATCTAGATCATTGATCATTTTTAATCTCACCCTCACTTATGAATTGCTCTTATCACAGGAATTTATTCGGAACATGTCGATACACCGCATTAGTGTTGATCTTCAATTATGATTGGGGATATGTATATATATGGAATTCATTAATTATCTTATTAATTATAATAACATGATCTTTTTGATTATTTTAAATTAATGATTTAAAATGAATATTACGGATCTCATAAATTGTGAAGTTTTAAAATGATAAAATTACATCGGACGAGTTATCACGTATTTCTTTTAAGTGTAATTTTAATTTTGAGATGATAATTGAGGTAATGATCTGTTGGATTATTAACTTTTCCACACAATTAAACAACATGGTTTTACAATGATGGGTTCAAATCAGTCCAAAATTTTAATAAAATCTTTACATTTAATGATTAGGTGTTGAATCCGATGATTCAAGATACAGTCTAACAACTTCATTTATTGGTCTATAAATTCATACATATTATTAATTACTAAAACAATACACTGATATATTTCTATCTTTTCTTTGTTAATTTTTTACCAATGTCTTTCGTATCAATTATTATTTATATACACATATATATATATATATGTATGTGTGTGTATATATATTCACGTACGAAATCATATTTACATGTTCATTTTAAATATAAAAAATCTAAAATATAATCAGGATAATCATTGAATTCTAACTATATACTTAATTATTATCTTTATAAAATTTATAATATTAAATCAAGAATAAATTATTTCATTATTAAACTTAAATTAAATTATAATAAAAAATAAATTAAAGAAATTACATAAAAAATGAGAACTTTTAAATAGTTGATTTAATATTAACATTGATATATATTATTTTTTTTCAAATTTTTTATGATATATTCAAATTTATATTTTGTTCAAAAATAAAATCATTATTGTTTTCTTAAAAACACATAAAATCATATTATAACATCGACATAAACAAATAATAAAATAGAACATTAAAATCAAGATGTGTTTCGCTGCATTGCACGAGTATTCTTCTAATATATATTCACGTACAAAGTCATACAAGTTCAAAACTCGTTTGCTTTTATTTTTTTGACATTAATGTAAAATCACATTAGTTTACGATAAAATTATAAATTATAATTAAAAAAATTAATTATTTGTTAGTATTTGCAATGTTCAAATTAAAGCGGTTTTTCTTTAACCTTTTTCCAAATTGTTAAGTCGATGATAATGCATTGAATGCGTATATCATACAAGAAGAAGGGACAGGATGCAACGATCAACAACCAACGCCCTATCCAACCCATTATTACTTCAATTTATTGTCCACACTTTCATAAATTCTCTGTTGCATCATTTAATATCTACTGTATATAGAGACAGATTCATACAAAAACAGTAATAAAATAAAAACAATAGTAAAATAGTCGAATCACATGTGATTTTACACTTGATTTAACCATTTTCTTGTTCTTTTAATTGTTAACCGTTCTCGTTTGAATCTTTCTCTCTCTCTCTCTCTCTCTCTCTCTCTCTCGCTATTGTCAGGTTCACGAAAAAACTGCAAAAAAATGAAAAACTAACGAACACCCTGGTCACCGTTCATCTGAACAGTATGCACATGTACATATAAGTAATTTGTAAGCAATTTGTCCGAGATATGCACATGTGCATAACACACATGCATAAAAACCAAGAACCAACTTCAATTACTTGTATGTACTTGTGCATACCGTCAAGATGAAAAACTGAGGAACCCGTGGTAACCATTCTGGACATTATCCACAAATACACAAGTGTCATGTATTATTACACATGATTTCTTTTATTTAAGACACTAATTTAAAATATTCATCAAGTGTATTTGTTTTATAGTCTAAAACCTTTTTATGAACCTTCACATCAATCTTTACATATTTCAAATAAAACATTACAACTTTAAATAAAGGAAACATGTTTTAATCGATTGCAGGTAATCGTGATACATGCCGTTAAGCACTTCACAGATCGTTCCATCTATGAGTAATTTAGTACTTAACACATTTCTCTTTAGAAACAACAAAAGGGAATCGTTTGCACGAGTGCTTAGAAGATACTTGAACTCATTATTAAACTTAAAATGATATAAACGCTTAATTAGCAATTGTACTTTAATACACCTTATTCAACATAATGAATTACAGCTCATTGTATTTTAATAGCTACTTTGATCAGGGTTTTTGTTTTTACAAATAGAAGAAAGACGTGTTCGTACACACAACTTCTCATTTGATTTAAAGAAGTCACTTTCACCAAAAATAACTTTACCAAATGTTTCAATACGATATGCACATCCATAAATTCGATAATTAATTTGTACTGTTTCTTCAAAAGAACCGTTTTGTTACAGTTATTTTTATCTTAAAAATGATACGTTTCACAAAGTACTATTAAAATTTACATAAATTACCCTTCACCTCTTGTGCATACAAGATAAGAGTTATTAGTTATTTTGCATATAATCATATGAAAAAGAATTGTACAAAATTTATGCTAAAGTTCTTCATGATTTTAAAGTGGCCTTTTTTAGGATGGAAAGAACATAATATCAAAATCAATAATCTATACTATATTATAAAGCATTTAAAAAAAACTCTTAAAAACCATTATTTATGCATTAAGTACTGTTTATTGATGCATATTACTTAAAATTCAAGATTACAAGTAAATTGTGCATATGTACAATTTAGCTCCATGTTTGAGTTCGTGTAACTAACTGCAGATAAACATAATCAAATACTGAATATGTATCTCATTTTAAATACAAAAAATCCAAAATATATTTAAGATAACCATTGGATTCTAACAAAATATTAATTATTATTTTTATAAAAAATTATATTATTAAATCAAAAATAAATGACTTCATTATTAAATCTAAATTAAATTATAATAAAAAATTGAATTAAAAAAATTACACANTCTAAAATATAATTAGGATAACCATTGAGTTATAACAAAATATTAATTCTTATCTTTAAGAAAAAAATAATATTATTAAATCAAAAATAAATGACTTCATTATTAAATCTAAATTAAATTATAATAAAAAATTGAATTAAAAAAATTACACAAAAAAAAAAACAAATTTTAAATACTTAATCCGATACTAAAATCGATACATTTTTTTTTCAAAATTTTATGATACCTTCAAATTATATTTTATTCAAAAAATAAAAACATTATCGTTTTTTAAGTACCACATAAAATCGTATTATAATATCGACGGAGACTATTTTAAAACGAAATATTAAAATCGAGATTTATCTCGTTGCATTGTGCAAGTACTCTTCTAGTACTAAATAATTGACATATGGATTTTTGAGTTATGTCAAACATAACTGATATTGTAAATTACACAGTAACATTTACAGATTTGAACATACAAGTTTAACTTCACATAATATCTGAAATATCAAATTACTCTCAGTATTTTAATTTAAAGAACTAATATCAATTATAATAGTTTCTATACGACAAAAATAAAGCATATGTTTTTGGGTGTCATTAATACAAGAACCATTATAAATCATATGTGGTTTTGAAAAATGATATTGATTTTCAACACAATTTATTTCATGGTCTCATAAATAATAAAATGGTAGTTGGAACATATGATTAATGAGAAATAGAATGTCATGGTCGTGGCAAGTTTAGGGCAACATATACCCCTATGATCACCCTTTGGTAGCCCACGAATGATTTTGGATTTATTGCAAGAGAAAAGTATGGCCATAATGTAGTGTTGTGTGTTTGGATAAATTAATTTAAATCTTTTTAATAATTTATATTTATATTATGCATTGTAATTAAGAGATAACGTTACGGTAATAAATAACCTAAAGTTACAAAGAGAAACGTTTAGCGGAACCTTAAGTTACTCACCTATTGAAGAATGTATGAAAACGATGTTTTTCTATATATATATACCGTTTACCGACAAGTTGAAATAATAAGACTAAATGTTGTGAAAAGGTAAGAAAGAAAAGTTAAGACAATTATTGAAAAAATCAATTTGAAAAATGCATATGTGAACACATATAATAATTTGTAACGTCGATTTATATATGCATCTCCAAATAATATTTTTCATGATTCACATACAAACAATCCCTTTTTTTTTAAGTATATATTATTTATATACGACAAATAAAATAAATAAACTCACACACCCTCCTCATATTTGGTGAGGTTTGAACTCCTGACCTCCTAGTAGACCAAAAATTCACATACCGCTAGGCCAAAGACCCTTTGGTACCTTCCCTCTTACCTTCTCATAATATTTAGGGACTGTTTGTTTAGAGGTATTAAACAGTATTTAATGTGATTAAAAAAAAACTGTTTTGTACTACATAATACAATAAACTCATTTTCTTGTCATTTTCATTCATTAACCTGAACAAAACAACCTCTTAATCTTGTCACGATGTTAATAATACAAAACTAGCTACAACACAATAAAGGAAGTCAAATGTGGCGGGTTTTTGGATTTATTTAAAAGAATCAAAATTTTGATTATACTCGATTGAATTACATGATAAAAGGAAATATAAACACAATAAAAAAAAAAAAAACCCTAGCAATCGCTTTAGCTTAAACAAGGGAGTCTTTGGTTGCTTTCTTCACTTCGAAATGGTTTTCCTTTTCCAACAGAGGTGAATTACTGTCCTTATCTTTAATCTGAAAATTATAGAAAAAACAATCCAATCAATATTTAATTCTCTTATATTGTTGCATCTGGACAAAAAAAGGGATTTAAAAAGAAAGGCAAAATGCAGGAAAATGTAACAGCTTTTTAATTGAAAACTTAAGGTGTACTCATAGAAGACTCACATCGTGTATTGTGGACCCAAATATGTTGTCGGTATAATATAGATATTATGAATCATATAAGTCATACGATTTCTTTTTCTCAAGAGGGGGTACATTACATATGTCGCTAGTATAACGTTGCTATTATGAATCATACGATATTTCTTTTTCTCAAGAGGGGGTATATATATTAAAACCACAAGAGATCGACGTCAATCAATTAATTAAAAGGTTCTATGATTGATATATATGTAACTGGGCTCATATAACACTCTTACATGCACATGTGCTGTAGACCTCAGAAGTGTTTATGTATGTATATGGTGTAGCTAATGAGAGGTTTCGGTTAAGAACCCAATATTGATTAAGAACCCGGTAGCCGTCCACAATCCACCATGTCTCTTTTCAGAATAGAGATTCATCAAGAATAACATATTTATTGTGAATATGAAGATGTTATTCATCATCTATGTGTGTGATGAATATGGACGTGCTATTCATGATGAATCACATATTCATGATGAATAACATGTCTATATTTCCTAATGAATATGTCACTTGTCGTGTTCTTGGCGGTCCCTTGGTTCCTAATCAATTTTAGGTTCCTAACGGAACCCACACCTGTAGCTAGGGGCGAGTGTAAATAAGAAGGCTAAATATCGTGAGAAGGTAAAAATGATATGTTAATGGAAGGTTCATATATATATATATATGTGTGTGTGTGTGTGTGTGTGAATCCATTGAGAAAATCTATTAGAAAATGCATATGTGTACCACCATTACAGATTATTCATATAGGTTCACATATGCATCTTTAAATAGATATTTCTAGTGATTCACATATAAACCTTCACTTCTTACCTTCGATATTTAAGTTGGTTAAACAAATGCAGGATACAGGTGTAAGTGAACCCATACAACACTTAATATACACGTCTTAAAAGATTACTTTTTCTATAACCGTGGGTCTTTGGGCATCACTTCAACTAATTCGATGGAATCCTGAACCAGTAACCAAATCCAAAGGATTTAGCGGTTGAGCTACCCCCAAAGAATTATATGCTAAGGAATTGCAGTCCATATATGTTGTGTGTATCATACAACTACAACTTAAATGTGTGATAATTTGTCAAGACTCAAGAGAGAGAGAGAGAGAGGTACCTGAGAACCAGGAGAGAGATCAACCATTTGTTTCTTTTTGTTTTCATGGGTACAAAAGTAAGAATATAAGCCCATTCCCACAATGGCAACAAGTATTCCGATGATGTTCCTCTCTGTGAAAGGGTCATGTAGCAAAGTATACCCAAATCCAAGAACCAGACATGTCTTGAGATGGCCTAGCACTTGGTATGTAACTGGTGATGTTTTCCCAATCACCAAAAATGTACTAAAATTCACAGAAACCGCAATCACACACGATAGAATTATGAACCCCTGCAACATTATTAATATATCATCACATCTCATGATATGTAGGCAGAAAAGCAATCCACAAAGAATAGTTAATTTTCAACTTGCAATGCATGATGGGCACTATAAAGTGGAAATCATTCATGATAGTTTACATAAGAGTAAGTATAAGCTGAGTATTCGATATTCAGGTAATGGAGGAATACCAAAACAAGAGGTGAATATTTGTAAGCAAAAACATTTTGCTTGGTGAGGTACTGATCCACCATAGGGCCTGTGACAAACAGAATAGCTGCTTGAAATGGGGCTGATTGATACAGCAGCTGAGTTGATGACACATTTAGTCTCTTCTGAATTGTGTTCGTCAGCTAAAATTTCAATACTTGGTTAAGAATAACAATGAGATAATTTTAAATTACTTCAATCTTCTAGCATTTTTGTGGGATAAAACAACTTATCCAGTGTAAAAATCAAGAAACTGAATCAAGTGATTGAAGAAAAAACAATTAAGAAAGTGGGAGGATACAATTTGTCCAACACAGGTGGTCATGATAGCTAGAATTGAGAGAACTGTGCCAACAAAATTGAGCTGAAGATCTGTCACTGATGCTATGCCAACTCCAACAAGTAAGAGGAAAAGAGAGAGCTTTATTTTCTGGCTGCAATTTGTCATGGATCAGAAATGAGGTTGTTACTTGGTACGCTGAGAAATATGAGTTAAAACAGAACTACTAAATACAGCGAAACATTTTCATTTACCTGAACTGTTTTTTCAAGAAAAGAGTTTCCAAGAGGACAGTGAAAGGTATGATTGCAAGTTTGGTCATCTGTGAAACAAACATCACAAGATTATAAGTTAGAAATGTAGATTTTTAGGTAAATTTATATACTTGAATGAAGAAAGACAAACCTGATAAAAGCCAATGGAGTTAAAGCCAAGGCTCAAGTTAAGAAAACCAATTGATATACCATTTAGAATGCCAAACAGGATCACAGTCTTCATATCAATGCTCTTGTTCTCAAAGAAATTCAAACGATGAGCCACATGAAGCGTGCAATATGTTACCATCAGATGCCAACTAGTCAACGTTGTAGCTTCAAAGGCAAAAGAAAACAACCTTAGTTTAGTGTGCAGAGTCATTGGTTGAACAACAATATGATCACTGTACACAAACCATTGTTTTACACTATTAACTTTCATTATTGATTATTTATTTTGCAGGTTTAATCCATTTGCATCAAGAATTTTCTTTTCCTCTCACATCATATAAGAGAATGTGAAACGTTGAATGATCTAAATAAGTAGCAGCATAACATCATTAGGCATTACTTAAGATTTTGCCTAGGATTAAGCAAGAGCTTGTTTATCCATCCAAAGGGTACCACCATTCAGGCATAAAGTACGATAAGTAGTGCAAATATATTACAAATTCAAGGTATATCTTTTATCAAGCAAATAATTAGGTAATATTAGAAGTGAGATGAAGGAAAGGCTTTGATTAAGTTGTTCTCAATGACAATAATGTCCTAACCACCGGTCATTGAGTAAGAGGATTAATGATTCTTTTGTCCATTTTAACCATTTAAAATTTGGTTAAATTTGTGTATAATTAATACACGAAATGGTTACTTGACATGCAAGTAAACAGGGAAGGTAGACAGAAAATTTACCAAAAGGAAAACCAAGATTACTCATCAAGGCCTTGTTGCAGATAACAATGGATACAGATGATGCCACAGATAGAAACAATGCTCCAATAACCCCCAATTGGTAACCTGTCAATTCTCCCATCTTCTTTTTCCTTCCATGAGAAAAATGAAATTAGAAAACAACATTTAAATACAAATACTTGATTCGCTTGTCGTTTGATTGAAAACATACACGAATTCTCTTTCATGACTCCATAAACAACACATGTACGTGTAGAATAAAGACGTGAAAAGTCAGAAAACTTTTGATAGAATTAGCAAAAATGTACACACAGTAATTACTTAAAAATGCAGAGTAGAATCAATAATCCATCATGAGGCTAATACTGATTTGCAACTATTAATCAATTCATTTCGTCAACTTTTGACGCATTATATTCTACTAGAAACAAACTTAAATACAAAGGAAATTTAATCAATATTACTACTAACTTAAAATCGAGTAAGCTTATAACTTACCTAATTGACGTCGGAAATGGTGTACAATCCGAGAGACTTAAATGATAGCACCTACAAATTTTGAAACGCAATAACAACTTCGATCAACTTCAAAGATAGTACACATGAACTAGACAACAACACCAAAATCAGCACGTATTACATATAATTTATATTCACAAACATATGATGTCGATGATTGAAAAGTAGAAGCAGTGAATCAGACCTTGGAAGCGATAGGATTTGAGAAGCAAGAGGCGGTTAAGCAGGTTTTGACGGCGGATTACGTTTTCCGGCAGCTGATCTGAAAAGGAACCAGAATGGTGAGGGGAGTTGTGTGAGATTGAATGTATATGGAGGTGGGGGGTGTTTATATTTTGTGGTCTGCCATCGGCATCGGCGGTTGGTACCTAAAATTGAAATTCTTCTCTGTGTTGCTTCGATTTGACGGCAAAACTAATTCTATGTTTTTACTTCAACAGTAGCCGTTATCATTTTTAAAAGTAATTTGACGGGAAGGCCAATTTTGTAATTTTCCACGTTACAAGTCACACCACCAAACTAACTTTTTTGTGTTTCTTTAAAATATTAAAATTGGTTTTCGTTACATTCATATTTCTTTAGTTATACAAAAGGAAACTGTTTCTTAAAGGGACTAAATTGTCACTTAAGTAAAAGTTGAGGGATCATGTTAACAAATTGAAACTTTATATATATATATATATATATATATATATATATATATATATATATATATGCGAATGATCATGTGAGAAAGAGTGTTAAGATGATAAACATAAGAAGGGATCTGAACTCTTGATCACCTCTAATTTTAAATTCACTCATGAATTGTGTTCGATACGGGGATTGATTGGAAGCCAATCTTTTATATGAATTACGATTAATGGGTTTGGAGAAGGGTAAAATAAGCACTTATTAAGAAACGAAAAGGAAATAAAAATGTGAAGTAACTTAGATTATAAATAAGAAACGTAGTTTATATAAAATTTTAATTTTAATATTTAAAAGAAATGGTATAATAAATATTTATTAAACCATAATAAAAATAGAAGCACATAAAATAGTTTAGGGATTTATTTGTTTGGTGGAAGGAAGGCATCGTGGATGATACTCAAAACCACTTGGGTTGGGGACTCAACAACCCTTTGGCTTACCAATAATTCAACTTAATTTTGACATTGATGTACCCCTCTTAACACACACTTTCCCATTAATTGCTTACTATTAAAGATCATATATATATATATATATATATATATATGTGGAGGTTCAAACGAGAACCTCTGTGATTTACGAGAATACGAGAACAACCCAATAACCTCAAACTTTTTTAATTAATAAATTAACTTATATTATATATAAATAATTTAATAAGGGCAGTAATGTAATTAAGTAATTTTTATAATTTTTATTTTATTTCAATTTCATAAYTATYCHTTTTGTTGACCACGTCTCCACGTTTTCCTCTGGTTAGTTTTCTTATCTAACCTTCTTCTCCAGATCGTTCATTCTTCTTCTCCAAATCGTTCATGATAGTCGACTTTCTTAATACATTTTCTTCATATCGTTAGTATCCATATTTTTGTCGATCTAGAATGGACGAATTGAAACTCATATAACATGATTATCACACCATATCACACAAAATCGTTTTCGTTGTGATATATATGTGTGATTGTCTAATCATAACCTATCGAAACCATCCGAAATCGTTGTAATAATGTCTAACCTAACCCATTGAAACCATGATCAAGTCGGGTGATATTGATATCACATGATTATCACACCCATATCACACAAAATCGTTGTGATAAATGTGTGATTATTTAATCCTAACCTATCGAAACCATCCGAAATCGTTGTGATAATGCCTAACCTAACCCATTGAAACTATGATCAAGTCGAGTGATATTGATATCACATGATTATCACACCCATATCACACAAAATCGTTTTTCGTTGTGATAAATGTGTGATTATCTAATCCTAACCTATCGAAAACATCCGAAATCGTTGTGATAATGTCTAACCTAACCCATTGAAACCATGATCAAGTCGAGTGATATTGATATCACATGATTATCACACCTATATCA